CTCCCACAGTTTGTCCAGGGACCCGCAGGTTTGGCAGGTATGGCGCTCAAAGTCGATAATTCTGATCAGATGCGCGATGCACTCATAGCACGTGGATTGACACCACAACCAATCCTCGATCTATCGCGACCTTTAGATTTGGGAAATGGCAAAATGGCGGATGTTGAATTTCGAGTGACTACCTTAAAACCCAATTCTATCCCCGGTAGCGATGTCTTCTACTGTCAGCATATTACACCGGATTTGGTCTGGCGTCCCGAGTGGCAAGCGCATACAAATGGTTGTATCGGAATGACTCGACTTAGTATCAATGTGAACGATCCAAAGGCGGCATCCGAGTTATATCTTCGTGCGATGGACGTCGTCAAGCTCGAGAACACTGAAGCAAATACTTGTATTATTCACTTATCAAATTTTGAAATCACACTTGTTCATAAGACCGACAAACCTTTGGGTATGTTCAAACTGGTGTTCGGTACTGATTCACTTGAAAAAGTGAGTGAGGCCCTTACTCAAGGTGGGGTAGATTTTCATAAAGAAGGTGAGCGTATCGTCGTCGAATCACTATCGCACATTAATTGCGAGCTGGAATTTGAGTGTATCATATAATCTCAACTCCAATGACTACTCTACATTTCGGGATAAATGAATGGATTATAAAACTCAAACAATTGCTTAACTTTATATGAACAATTGAATCTATAATTTTTACAGATTTCTCGAGTTCAAAGTGGATGTTTTAGTTTGAAGAGGAAAGTTTTCTCTACAAATCGACATATATCTTTTTTTTTTGGAATCAAAAGTATTTGTAAAAAATATAATTTCTTCTTCCATTGAACAACCAGAAATGGAAATATCTGTCAATAGCTATGCAGGAAGAAGATCAGTGGTTGTGTATAGAATTTTATTCCTTTCGAATATAGTCTTTATAAGATATAAATTGTTTGAAATATTTATATTTTCTACAATGTCTACAAAAAAGTACAAGAAATGCTTGTGATCGCTGAAAAATCTAAGCTATTCGGTGAATAGGAAAAGGTACATAGTAAAATTCGTAAATTTGATTTATTGTTTCTACTTTCATATACATAAACATACAGATATGATTTAAAATAATAGTAGTCATATAAACAACCAAGTTAACTTCCATAGACAGTTAATTATTTGATAGAATATTATTACCATTCGTTTTAGGTTTTTTGATCACTTCGGTACATGAATCAAATGATTATAGATCGATGTAAGCATAACTATTGATGGGTGTGTAAGTGTATAGGGTATATGAGTAAGAATGGCGCACACATTACACTATATTCTCACGAATACATAATTACTCACATCTACATTCAATCCTTCTTCACACAACATTCAAAATTAAACTCTTTTGTTGATAATTCCATCACGAATCTATAGTTTAGTTATGAAATTATAAAAGAAAATCAAACTTAGATATCTTGTATATTCGATTTGAATAAGTTGAGATATTGAAGGGAAAAAGTGAGAGTAGATGATTCGATTATAATCGAATAAGTTGAATAAAATATGATATTATTGATTAAATGAGTCGATGATCAATGAATTATCAACAAACATTCTATTTAATATTTATAAGATATAAAGTTAAATCATAGAATATGATCCGAGTTCTTCAGGTGAGTATAAGTGAATATGCTTTTGAATTGATAAGAATATTTGGGTAGCTTTTTCTTTGTTGGCCTTGATTTACGAATAACTATATGAAACAAGACGTTTGCATTATGTCTGGAGGATCATTTTTTGGCATAAATTTATTTATTTCATATATTTTAAAGAAAAGAAAAAAAAACGATAAAAATTTGTTCATTTATACAAAACGGTTACATATTTTTTTGAGATTAATATAAGCAGAAATTTAATTATCAATGATTACATATGATTGGTAATGATTATTCTGACTAGTTTCATCATAATCATTTTTTTCTTCTTCAGTTTAATATTTCCTTACTCTCTTCTGCCAAATGTCACAAATATTTATTTTACATATCTAAAATATGAGACATGCATCTTTCGCAATCAAGATATTGTAGAATAGTTTTCATTTAGAAGTGAATTTTAGTAAATAATTTTGTTTTGAGTTTTTCAAAGAGACAAAAATGTGATTCATTATTTTCATTATATATAGATTTGTAATGAAATGTTTCGTGTTCTATTCTCATTCATATAAAATGCAATACTTGTCTTATACTCCTTATGTAAATAGTTATTGATCGAAAACGCATGTGAATGCGTTCGGAATTGAACTTGTGTTCAGGCATGTTTTTGAAAGAGAATGCATTCTTAGTTATTTAATATAAAATATCTAACATATAACAAGCTTTTTAGGTTATTTTTCTCAAAAATAATTTTATGAATTTGTTTTTATTATAATAATATTCTTTTTTTTTATTGCCCACTAAATGCGATTAATATTCAGAAAACTTTTTAATTGTAGTTATAAAATGATAAATTATTTTTAGAAGAATTTATTTGATAGAAGTATGATAAAAATCGTCAATTACATAATTTAAACAATAATATATTTATTAATTTCCTAAAAAAAAAACATTGAATATCTGAAAACTATTGTGTGATTATTATTTATAGAAAGATTAGAGAAATATGAATTATATAGATTATGTTTAATAAAATTTTTGTTTATTTCAATATTATCTAGATATTCTTTATTGAATCGTCTAACAAAATGTAGATAAATAAAATATATATAAATTGACAATTTCGATCACTTGGTTAACTTTTCTCGAACAAAAACCGTTGGTATAAAATTAGATCTGAAATGAACACGTTCAATAGTTTTCAGATACGTGTAAGAAATGACACAATTTGTTATCACCACGTTTCAACCCATTGATTTTGCGTTTCGTATTTACATAGATCGTATGTTTCTGAGAAGAACACCAGTTGTGATAGGTGGAATTGTAGCAATTATAAAAGATATTACCCCAATAAGGATTTTTATTATCATTCTTATTCAAACAGAGACAGTCTTTGTCACTGTATTTATTCTCGACTATTTCCAACCATTCAAATTTATTTTGAGTCAACTAAGTATGTCTATACTGTTCGAC